GATACGAATCTCTTGTAATCTTGTAATCAGAAATCTCCCTTTTCTGATGTTTAATAGACCAACGGATTAAATCAAGAAGATAATCAGCATATAAATAATGACAATAATCGTAGTTGCAACTCCACAGGTGTATACCATTAAAAACTATCTATATGGCTAATAAATATAAGGGCCTATCCGTTTACTGCACTAACTGTGTTGGTGGTGTTTCCTATCAACATGTCACATCAGCAGATGGTCTCGGTAAAGCAAAGCCTGCAGGCTAATGAAGATCTTTACGTACCACTTGAGACATGCGATGTCTCTCAGTTTGCATTTGCAGCTTTCAGTAGAGTAGCAGCTGGCCACAAAGTCAACAGTTCTGGGGGGGAGGGAGGGAGGGAGGGAGTAATGAGAAACAAACACAGCCATGAAAGGTTAAAACCAGCATCCATTTCACGTTTTTATGCAACAAACCATATTCATCATAGTATGTGTGTCAATGTGGTGGCCCTCTTCACATTAAATGACCGTTTAGATGATCAGCTGTCATTTAGCTATAGTAACTAAGCACACCTTGCCCTGGCAACAGCAGCAGACATAAACAAAGGCTAGCGGCACTGCTAACTAGATTAGCACTTACCTGTTGGGAGGTATATCAGTGGAAAACAGCTCAACCTCAGTGTCTGCAAGAAGCACTGCTTTCATTCCTCTCGTACAGAGCAGACTGTCACAGAATATGCAGTTCACCTGGGTCACACACTTGTTTTTGAAATTAGCGTTGGATGTAGACATTGTTTTCCTGCTAAAGAATAAACAACCGGACGAACTCTGTCTCTCTCTCTGTCTGTCTCTCTCTCTGTCTGTCCTCAGACAGTAAACGCAGCACAGGACGAGGACCGGGCACTGATGGAACTCACTGTGCGTTCAGTTCGGGGTTAGAACACATTCGCTCCGCAACCGTTGACGCTAGCTCCAACGTCCTTGTGCGAACGTTAGCCTTCCCCTGACGACACAACGGAGGGCAGCTAACGTTAGCTGGTTGAACAAACGCGCGGAGAAGTTATCTGTTTCCGCCAAACGATGGAATGATTAGCTGTGTTGTGGATAAATACACGATATCGGCGAGTAGCTACCCTGTTTTACACAACTGGCTCACCATCCATTCAGGTGTAGTTTACAGCTAACTAAATAGCTGTCAGCTTTGTTTACAACTTCCTGGTATTTAACGGCACTTCCTGAAACTATCTTTAAAAGACCCTACACTTCAATCTGATTGGATACATTCCGTAATAGCCGACGCCATTGGTCACCTTCATTACAAAGTCTGGATCTAATTGGCTACAAATTACAGTTGAAAAGCCCACGTTAACGAGTCCTGAGAGCGGATTGGCCGGGTCTCATGTCAATCAAATTCCGTCCCACCAATAGTGGTGTGGGAAGTATATCTCTGGTCCTATGAAGTTAATCGGGGTTGTCCTTAAAACAGTTGATGCGTCGACATTAGTGAGGAGTTTCCTTTTAGATAGACCGCTTAAATCACTACAATGTATGTTAGAACATGTTACCGTCGACATATTAGACAGTGTCAATAATGTCATTAATGAGTGCAGATAGTGAAGACTTTAGGAATTGCTTGCTATCACGCTAAAAGCTATGGTCGGACTTCTTGGCCAAGTTTGGGGCTGACATTAGCCACATATCCGAGCTACAGTTGATAATGTGCTGTTTTGTAAAGTGAATACTCACATAACGTTATGGCACACTCAGACATCTTGTCTCCTGTCGGTGGTCACACTGAAATGACACATGAAGTGGCTATAAAACCCACTTTTGCTTACTTGTATCTGCACATTGCAGCTGGCCTAGCATCCTAAATACTGCCTTTTGCATTAGGCCATTCCCATACATTTTTAATGAAACTCTAAGCGACGTCATCACCTGGTTAAAATCACCTATCTGGGACTTGTGACGTGCAGCACGCAGTTACATGCTTGTGGTTTATTCACACAAATGAATATCCATGTGCGCGTCCATGCCTGTCCTGCGCATTAGGGCTGTCCCTCCATCTCCACTCGGTTCCTCCTCTCTCTCTCTCTCTAGGGGGGTAGTGGGGGGGCAAGAGGAGAGCAGTTTAGTTTAGACAGGCGGACGGGCAGCTGCGTGGCCGATATCCGCTCATCTTAGAAATAACAAAAAACTTTTGGAAGTGCCGACTAGCTATCCCTGTTTGGTTTTTTTTTTCAAGAAGGGAATGAATCTCCTTTCACTTGAAGTTGTTTGCACCATAACCGGTTTTGAGGAGGCGGTGAGGCGCGGCGGCGGATGGGAACATACAGCCACAGCAGCAGCAGCAGCAGCAGCGCCAAACTCACAATGCGCCCGGAGTGAACACAGCCTGGGAGACAATACACATCCGCGGGCACACTGAGGAGCTGCAACCTCTCATCTGGGCTCTCCTTTTTCTTTCTTTTTTTAAAAACCCTGCTCCATACAGTGGCGTTTTCCTCCCGCAGACTCCTCTACTGCTGATTTTATTGATTGATCGAGGCAAAATTGACTTCGCGACGAGGGCAAGTGGTTTGATCTCCAAACTCAGCCATGACGTCTCCGGCGAAATTCCGAAAGGACAAGGAGATAGTGGCCGAATATGAAACTCAAGTTAAAGGTAAAACTTTTTTTTAAAACAAAAAGCTCCTCGCTTGTTCACGTTTAGCACAAGCTAAAGCGATGTGGCGTTCAGTGTGTGCTTTCTGACTGTATGGTGTGTTTTCCTTGACTTGGCTGACTGCGTTGCTTTCTGTACCCTCACCTCCTCTCCCATCAGGCGTAAAAAAAAAGAAGGGGGTACGCTTGGCTTTTTTGTATTTCTCCGATCATTTATGAAGGTTAATTGTCATCATGCGGACGTGGCAGATCGATATAATATATCAATAATCGCGATCATACATGGAACATCATGATCAGCGTGTCTACAAGCGTGTGATCGCTCGCCTTTAACGCAGCACGCAGATGGCCAACAAAGACAGAAAAAACCCCGCTCAGAAATCAGTGTTGTCCAGATGTGGCCTCTATATGGTCTCTAAAGAAAAGCTTATGTGAAGGTGGTGTGTATGTATATGTGTATGTATATGTGTGTGTGTGTGTGTGTGAGTGTGAGTGAGTGAGCTGTGTAGACTACCCAGAGGGTTGGGGGTTTCGACATGAAGACAAGGCAGGGCGTTTATCTCTCTTCCTCTGTAGAATCTCACTGCATGTCTGTGCTGCTGCTTCTGCTGTCTGAGGTGGTGTACCACTGTCGTCCGTTAACATGCTGGCAAGTGATTAATAGTGTGCCTTTTTAACGTAGATTACAATTAAATGATCCATTTGTGCAAAGGCTTGTCCATTGATCGCAGTTCACTGGTGTCGCCCCTGTCGATGATCAAGGACATGAGAGAGCAGCAGGGGTGGGAGAGCAGATTGTAGTGGTTAGAAAGGGGCGTTCAGATGTTAACTGTTTACTGGCCGATCGGTGTGTGTGTGTGTGTGTGGTGGGTGTGGGGTATTATTTGGTGTCAGGCAGACGCACTGTATTCAGCTGGAGCAGTGGCAGTGATTGCTGATCAGATCTATAGGTTTAGGTTGGTGGCATGTGGGTTTTGCGGGAGGAGACGGAAAACAGAGGTGGCAGGAAGAGGGGAGAGGGATGTGGAAGAGATAGGGGACAGGATATTGCCCTCCTCATGAACAGCATGTTTCCACTGCTGCTGCAGTGCCAGATCACCAGATACAACAGGCCACCACCTTCCTGATCACACCCACTACTCGTGTCCGTTTTAAGAGCAACACATCGTCCCAGCCTTGTCTCTAAAGCTGACACCCTGTGGCCCTCCTCTTCTCCTGTGGATCTGCCCCCTCCTGCAACTTTGTAGAGTAGAGCGAGCAGCAAGTCAGTGACAAGCAAATAACCTCTCCACGACCGCGGAGAGTGTTATCATACATTTCTGTGAAACTGGAATTTCTGGTGTTAATAAACAGATGGGTGACACAATAAAGGAAACGCTGTCTTAAGTGTGAAATGGCTTCAGTGGCTCATGGCATAAATTCGGCAAGTTTCTGGAACTCAACCGGAGGATGAACACCATTCAACCAAAACTATTGAGAAAGCCACGTCATATGATTGACTGACTTTCATACTTTAAAAACAAACCTTTCAATGACCCCCTTGTGCCCTTTATGGATGCATCTGTTTTGCTCCACCACTCCAGTTTTTCTTTTTAATTTGTCACTTGTCTGTACATTTACCCCAAATATGGGCTTTATTGGGTCTAGAACAGGCAGTCCCTTCAGTTAAACTAATGAAAAGACCACGGTAACTTGACTTAACTCACTGTTTGACGCCTCTTATTAACCAGTTCCTCCTGTTTACCTGCCTGAGTGCAAACTCCTTTAGCTGTCACCACAGTGACATTGGCATTGTTGTGCCAGTGTCCCGGTAGGCTGCTGTTTATGCTTAGCAGCCTGTCCATGCTGCATTGTGAGGACTGTCTGCTGTGTTTGTCAGCTTGTGGACTTAATGTTTGTCCATTGACCCTCTGCATCGATTCCTCCTGTCAGTTACTTCGCTGCTCCCTGGCAAACAGCTGTGTTGAGCTATCTCTCCGTTCCTCACTCTGTCCTCACGTTTTTCCACATACCGTCTTCCCTATCTGGAAATGAACAGATGAAAGGATCAACCTGTGCATCCACATAACTGTTTGAGGTGTGTGTGTGTGTGTTTTCCCGTATGTGTAGAGGCGTCTCCAGGTGCTGTGTGTCTGCTGTGACATTCCCAGCAGTCTGCCTTCTCTGGGAGACACAGACAGTCTGTCATTACCCTTTACACTGCTGTTAGAGATTCTCTAATGGAGGGTATCAAGCAACAATACATGAGGCACCTACATGTTACGTCTCTGTCTCCCTGTATTTGCTAACACATGTCAGTCTTGTTCCCCAATTCTTTAATAGGTCTGCAATTGCAGTCCAGCTAGCTGGGGAATCAAACCTGTGTGATCTACTGTAATCAGGCAACAGGAATAGTCTTGTCATGCTGCAGCCATACACTGCAGCACCATTGGGGAGATGCATGTAAATCCTCCCATGGCTTACATTCATAAATCTCTGCAGCAGGAGAGGAAGATGATGCAAACGTGCACGGATTAACACACACAAGGGGTGGACAACGTAAGTCAAGCACTTGGTGAATGTGTCCACATTGTTGTCAAGACACTCCACCTAGCATGTTAACTGCCATCATTTTGTTTGGCTGATGCACCTCCAGTTTGGCCACTGACACAACACTACATTCAAAACTGTGTAGCCACAATGCGGCCTCTTACAATGGAGCTTGCATATTGCTTTATGTTTTTAAAGTTTGGAAACAAATATCAAGTGCTGACATGCATACATACATAATACATGCCCTGTTATTCATTATGCCTCTGTTATTTTGTCTACCTTTTGTGATGGAAAAAACTGTTGAGTTGTGGTGAAGCAATTACCAATGCGGATGTTATGGACACTGCCATCTCACCTGTTGACATGTGAGCTGAAGAGTACTGCCTTTATAAATACACACACACACACACACACACACACATACATGCTTGAATACCACCATCCTTCTCTCAGTCTGTGTTATTTCTCACAGGCAGAGTGCTGATACTCTAATATGGGCCGACTCAAGGAATGTTCCTACTGCTCAGGAAAAGGGTGTGTATGTGTGTGTATATGCAAGAGAGAGAGGGTGACTGAGATGGAATAAAAGAGATAGAAAAATGAAGCATTTTACGAAAAAGAGAAAGAAAGAGAGTGAGATGCATTAAAAGAAGGATAGGAATGTTCTAACACAGATGTGAATGGTTACACACAGTGCTGAAATGGAGTTAAGGAATGAGCTTATCTCCTACCATTTGTATTTCACAGAGCATTTATTCGGAATTGAATCCAGAAAGCTACTTTGCTTTTATAAAGACTCCAAATTGCCCTGAGCTTTGTCACTATTACAGGCTCCATCCATCGCATTATCCAGATATAGACGTGCGTTGAGTACATCCAGCAGCTATCGCCATCTCTGGGTTACCAGTCAGCAAGTTTGCAATACCATTTAACAAAAAGGAAAGCTTTGATTCAGGCAATGGGAAACATTTTAGAGGAAAATTAGGGAGTGCTGAGTCTTTAAAAACATTTGACAGATGTTTCATTTTTCACGTGCATTTTGGCTCAGCGCGTCAGCATCTGTCTGTGTTTTACACATCTGGGAATGTTAATAAGTGGCTGCCATTGCAAATAACTGCCACAGCTGCCACTGATAAAACGTATTGATTATGGTGGTTTTACAGGGAAATGGTCATCCAAGCTGATGATGTTCCGAATAACCTTTATTGATCTTCACACTAACTACTCACAGACAAAGAATCTACACAGGCTGTATCTCCAAACAGATGTAGACTATTATAATTTTCCAGACTGGCCTATAAACTCATTCAGCTCTGCAGATACGATGTCGATCCACCTCCCTGAAGAGGGATGAGTGCCTGTGGCCATAAACTGAAACCGTGTGTCTGCCTACGTGTACATTACTAAGCTGCCTGTTTACAAGGCAGCCAGAGAAACATATGATTTAAGATAAATGGGTGCTTTCACTAGCACACAATGGGAAAGGTGGTGACACAGCAAGAGGTTTGTCTGCAGGCAGGATTGTGGGTCTGTGACTGTATGTGTGTGTGAGGCTCTATGCCACGGTTGAATATTTCTTTTTTCTGTGGTTGATTGATGCATGTTTGATCAGGAGGAGCAGGGGAGCAGGGATATTGCAGAGGGGTCCTCTGACATGAATTGCAGCGAGGGTCTGTCTCTTTTATTAACAACTATGAAACAGTGAGAGCCAGATTTTGTTATTGTAACACTGACCTATTTGCTGCTGTTGCCTTCACGAAACATCACATGTGGGTGGATGGATGTGGGAAGAACTCTTAAGCTAATCAATTAGTGGTAGTTTAAGTCGTTGTGTGTGTGATCTTTTTTTAACATCACTGTCAATTAGGGCTGGATTGTATTGAGTCCAATGGTTTACCGACCACAAGTCAATCACACAACTCTTAACAGTGCGGTTTTCTCACCGTACAAGTGTGTGGATGTCTGTCGGAGTGTGTGATGAAATGGAAAAGGGAGGCGGGTGGTGGTCCTGGATCTGTGTGAGCTGAATTAAAATTGCTAACGGAGCTTAAAATAATCAGTCAGGAAGGATGTTTGTGTGAAACTGAGGTTCAGGAGTCGTACAGGGAGTGTGTGAAGCTTCCTGTTTGGGCCCATGGCTTTGTGTCTGAGCAAAGTAATCAACTGCCTTTCACATCACGCGCACACACACGCACGCGCACGCACGCACGCGCACGCACGCACACACACACAGTGCAACTGATTTTTAGCTCTGCAGTTAGCACACTCTCATCTCAGAATAGAAGGGAACCGAGAGATAAAGGTAGTAGGTTTTTTTGTTTTTAAGAGTGAAAATCCTCTATTCCCTTTGATAAGTTATAATAGAACAATGTGTTCCATACCGGGCGTCCCACCGTGTGTGTGTGTGTGTCTGTGTGTCTGTGTCTGTGTCTGTGTGTGTGTGTGTAATAGCAATAGCCGTTGCCGTGT